TCCTTCCTTCCTTCCTTCCTTCCTTCCTTCCTTCCTTCCTTCCTTCCTTCCCTCCTTCCTTCCCTCCCTCCCTCCCTCCCTCCCTGTAGTATAACTACTATGTTTTGGTACTTAAACAATTGCCACCCCGTATGGGGCATGCAGTTGTGCCATTGTGTTAATAAAGAGGTAGAAATATTTAGATTTTGTTCTGAGCAGGAGGCTCCATTCTATCCTAATGACTGAAGTGTGGATAATTATTAAGTACTCTCCATGTTCAGAAGCAAGACGTGGTTCTGGGAAACAACCTCTGAAAGGGCTTGATGAAGCTCATGTATGCTTCCAAGCAGCATTTGTTAGTGGCTCCATCAGCCATGTAGGACCCAGTTGCCTGATAATAGGGACAGATATGGGGGAAAAAATGGGGAAAGATACCCATACTGCTTTTCAGGAAATTGTCTATCAAGGAGGAAGAAGATGTGGGATTAGATGTACTTTTGAGCTAACCAACAGGAAAAGGTTAATATGGTTCTTTTATGCTTGTTCTCCTTCACTTGCAGAGATTTGATTGGATAGACAATATTTCACTTTCAGAGATTAGCGTGCATAGTTAGGCAAGTCTGCCTGTACATGTGTGTGTTTGTATGTGTGTATTTTGCAAGCTTGGATCCAACAGATTTACCTTCTGCACCTCCCTGCTGTAATCCACACAAGAGTCCCCTGAAACTAAAAAGATGTGATTTTTATCACATTGTCTGCACTGACATAACAAGAGAGAGAGAGAGAGAGGGAGATAGATCATGGGGAGAAATAATTGGTGGGGCAGGAGGGGCAAGCCAGATCTCAAAGATGACATTGGAGAATGGGGCTTTACTCCTTTACCCCAGGTTTGAGTGTGATGTTGCTCACTCCACAGTACCTTTACTTGCAGTGGGAGCTTCCTCCCATTGCAAACATCAGGAAGTGGGCAATTCCAATCAGGACCATGGCCTTAATCCTGCTCAGGGGGCAGCACCACCTACGGATTAAAGAAAAAATTAATCATAATCACCCTTGTACCCTGTGGGTCCCAACCAGGAAGCCTAGATTAAGAGTTGTTTGAGCTTAACTGCTCCAGCATTAAAGCCAGATGTTAAGACTGCATGATTTCAAGTGTGCAAATTTGGACCAGGTGATCTTAAAAATAATGGAGCTCTAATTATGGATGAGGCTTCCCTGCTACATCTGTGCTTTTTCCCCAGGAAAAATCATCATGAATGACCCTTTTGCCATGAGACCTTTCTTTGGGTACAACTTTGGTCAGTATCTTTCCCACTGGCTCAGCATGGCACATCGGCCTACGGCAAAACTCCCAAAAATCTTCCATGTCAACTGGTTCCGGAAAGATGAGCAAGGAAGATTCCTTTGGCCCGGCTATGGTGAGAACTCCCGGGTGCTGGAATGGATGTTTAACCGCATCCAGGGAGACGACTGTGCACAGCTCACAGCCATTGGCTATGTCCCCAGTGACACAGGACTGAACTTGAAAGGCTTGGAAGGAGTCAGCCTCCAGAGACTGTGTGACATTTCCAAAGAGTTTTGGGAAAAGGAGGTGGAAGAAATCAAGAAATATTTTACAGAGCAAGTGAATGCTGACCTCCCCTATGAGATTGAAAGAGAAGTTATTGCATTAGAACAGAGAATTAAACAACTGTAACATTGACTTGACACTGTAGACAGTACCTTGGAAAGATCAATGAAAGAAATGTCCAGCTTTTCTAGACACTAGGTCTGGAAGTGCAATAAAATAACAGCAGTCACAGAGTTATGGCCAGAACTATCACTCGTGCAGTTTGATTGAAGAGGGGTTTTTCAAGCTGCTCCAATATCACTTGACAAGCATTTTAAACAGTGGTTATAGAGCTGATCAGCATTATTGCTTCATACGCTAGGTTAAATAATCAGAACTATTGCTTGATAAGCTAGTCTGCTACCATTGATAAGCATTGCATGCACATGTCAAGAAAGCTGTCCCAGGATGGCTGTGGTTCTTGTATAACGTCACTAATGATCTTCCATATGTGAGTTCCTCCCATCCTCTAGCACTGTTTACTGTAGGATGTAGAGATTCTGCACTTCAGTTGGCAGAAGGTGAAAGATTAAAACCCATTCAGCCCAGCAGCTGTCCATTTTAATTTGCAACAACATTAAGGTGATGATAATGAAATAATACATAATATAATGATGATAGTATCTTCACTCACTCACTTGTCTTCTGATACCATATAAAAATGTCCTTGAAGAGAGCCAACTGTTCCTTGTCACAATGACATTCTTTTTCTACGTGTAGTTAGTAATACTGAATAAAGATGTATAGACTTCTGCATGCTGGCAGCAACAGATGAGGGGCCATCAGAAGAAGTAATTAGCAACTACTGTATTTCTTAAAAATAAAGACATTCAAGAGATTACTACTCCATTGTGTCACACAGAAAACCTATCTGTATGCAAAATAATATCTTCTATGTGCCTTATGTTTTGTATTGTGATTCTGCCATGTATAGGGGATCCTGTTGTGACTTCAGAATAATAAAATAAGTGTTTTGGCTTCTTGGTATGTACTCTGAATATTGCTTACAGGCAATCCAATCCTATGCATATTTATTTGGAAATCCCATTATGAACAATTCTGCATTGTTGTGCTATCTATCCCCCCGTGTGTCAACACAAAAAATGGTGTCATGATATTGGCTGTTCCATTGCTGTTGAATATTCTGCCTCTGTAAAGTTTGTTGTGCCTGTAGGACAAATTACTTTGACCATATTTTCCACTGCATCACTTACTTCAGATATGGTGATTGTTTCTCATCCCTGAGCTATATTTGCTTCCTACCCCTCCATGCTGCATCTCTATAAGAGATGGAAAATCCAGTTTAATTCAGTGCATACTCTGGCACCATTATGTAAATATACCCTCTTTTTTGATAAACAGAATAGAATAGCAACCCAGGATCCGAAGACTCTCCATCCAACACGGTTGGGAGGCAGATTGTTCAAACCAAAATTGCTTGCAAAGACAGAGTAGGGAGACAGGGAATGTATCATAAAGTTCTCTGAACTACTGTTGATGTTATTTTCTGTTAGACATTTTGATATCTCCCTACAATATCCTTGGCTCACAACAACAAGAGGCCAGAGATGGTGGGAAATCAGAGAGGGTGTAAACTAGTGAAGATGTGATTGTACAGTGGAAGGGCCATTGTACATTCTTGGCCCCCATGTAATACCATCTCATCCTAAAAAAGTGTAAAAACATATTCCACCTCTGATCTTTCCTTTCCTTTCCTTTCCTTTCCTTTCCTTTCCTTTCCTTTCCTTTCCTTTCCTTTCCTTTCCTTTCCTTTCCTTTCCTTTCCTTTCCTTTCCTTTCCTTTCCTTTCCTTAATTTCAAAAACAAATTACCCTTCATCAACTTGAATGAGAATGGCAGGAAAGCATACAGTTTTGGTTTTGCTTTGTAGTGCATTAATGCGGAAATATTGTGGCATTGGAATGGTACTGGATTTTTACCCCAGCAATGTTGTTATGAAGAATACATTCTTATTCCATACACATGGCTACAATCCATGGAACCTGGGAAGAGGCAGTATTAAGAGCAATAGGATGTTATGGATCTCTCACTCCAAGGGAGTAGAGAGAGAGAGCTATATAAACCTACTTCTGAAGTTTGGTATTGGAAAAGTGGACAAGGAGGTGTAGAATGAGAGGCATTTTCTTGACTGAGAAAGACTGAGAGGCACAATCTTGACTGAATTCCTTTTCCTTTTCTCTCATCTGCTTTCTTCTGCTGAATGCAGCTTCCTCTTTTTCTCCATTTTGCATAATGTTGCTACTCTGAAAAGAGGTGTGATGGGTGTGGTGGGTACATATCTATGTATGGCAACAATGCAGATCTATGTATGATAGATAGCAATGCAGGACTGGGAATGGACTTGCCCTTCACATGTGCTTCAAGGAAGACTTAAACTTTCTATTTTCACCATTGTCTTGGGACTAATTTTACAGTCGTGAAAATACAGTGTTCAGGAGCAAGTTTTTTCCCCCATAATAACTGGTTTTCCCATAAATAAAGTGTTCCCAGCAAACCCCCAGTGTGCTTGTAGGTTTTTTATGCCAGCTCTGACAGCTTCTTCATTTTTTAAAAAAGAGGGTGCAAATATTTGTTCAGCAAAACAGAATGGCTTCAGCTACTTTATAAAAAGAAATGTTACCAACTCTTCTTGTTCCCCAAACAAATGGGGTGCCTGTGGGAGCCTGTCTTTGAAGCTTCCTTGGTGAGACTACAGTAATAGATTTTAACTGATGGGAGGTTTGGTCCCAGAATTATCAGAGACTGAAGACCAAACAGTGCCCAGAGTAGAGTCTTATTCCTCTACTTGTTTTGGGAAGCTGATTTTTTTTTCTTTTTTTCTTTTGAGATTGCTGTCAGTCTTCCTAAGTGTGGTGAACCTGAAGCTCATGGAAGAATGACTGGTAAAGTAAGAGAGGAATCTTTCACATGCATTGGGTTCTTTGCTGTCATATATACATCATGGATGACCTGAGAACTTAACCAGAAACAAGTCCACGGCATATCCAGAATGAACCCTAAATCCTTTGCAATACGTGAGTGTATTGAGTGTATGCAATACGTCTGGTTTGTTGGCTCAGTAGCTAGGTCATTTGGTCAACTTTGATGAGGGAGAGAATCCACAGTTTTATAATTTAAACTCACTTAAACCGTAACACTATAAAACAGAACAGCGTGAATAAAATGGAGTTGGTTTCAATAAAAACATACATTTAGTTAGGAATAAGTGCTCATTTTTGTTGTGTATATATAGCCCCATATAGATTGTGTATGTGTGTATTTATTTACCATATTTCTACCCAGCTGCAATCCAGAGCCTCAGCAGTGTTATAAATACAAAAATGCACACACACAATATATATATTGTGCCTCTGAGTCAGTGTTGACTCCTAGTGACTGTCTGGATAGTCCCTTGAGTTTTCTTGGCAAGAATTTCAGAAGTGGCCTACCATTGCCTCCTTCTTCCTAGGGCTAAGAAAGAGGTCCCAAGGTCACCCAACTGGTTTCATGCCTAAGGCAGAACTAGAACTCACAATCTCCCGGTTTCTAGCCTGGTACCTTAACTACTACACCAAACTGGTTATTTTATACTATATTATTATAAACAATGATATGATATGATATGATATATGATATGATATGATATGATAAATATTTATTTTATTTATATATATGATGCCTAGTCTTTGGAAATGTAGTGACATATAACCCACAGTATATAAAACTGAGCACATATAGAGCACAGCAACATGGCCATGTTAATGTGTTTTCCTCCCCTGTGACCTAGCAGAAAAATATGCCAGTGTAATCTGCACTGCCCTCATTGCCAATCCCTATTCTGCTTCCTTAACAAGGCTGATGAGTGGTTCTGTTTCAATGCAGGACAAGAAAAAAGAAAAGCAGTTGGTGGATTGCTGGAGCATCATTTGCTGGTGGAGAAAAAGCAACCTCCAGTGGTTCTCCTTAACATATGGTGGGGCAGGGTTGGTTGAGTGTAGGTGAGTGCTTGGAACAGTTAGTTTATCTACCTGTCAGGTTGCTCAGAGACTGGCCCAAAGTCAGCCTGTAACTTTCCATGTCTGAGGGTGGACACAAATCTGGGTCTTCCCAGGCCTAGTCCAACGCTTTCACCACTACACCAGCATACTTTGCTGTGAGCCTCATTTAGCTGGCCATGCGAGGGCGTGAGGGGGCTGGTTGAGCATGTCTTGGTTTCATGTGGCAACACAGTTTCCTGTGCCCAGTTCAAAGCCATAGAAGGCTTACGACTGAAGTACTTGGGGGACTGCTTCTTCTCATTCCAGACTGCTTGTGATTATCTTCATGAAACAAGATTGTTCTCTTCATTAGGGAAGGTGCTTTGTTGAGCAGGTGGCCATTCAAATCCAAATTTGATCCAAGCAATCTGTAAAAGTTCACAGCGAAGAAAAAGAAATTCCCAGGTGACACCTCCTCCACATTGAACTTAAAATGTCCTTTCAAGGAAGGCATGAGTGGTGTAGACATAGCATGGTTTGCCCCCTTAGGAAAAGAAATGCTTATTTCTTTAAACATTTTATTGATTTCTCAGGGTTTCATTGGTTGAATAGTTTTCTTCCGATCATCTCTCAGTTTTATTGCTTATAATGTTTGATGCATTCCTCAGTTTTACTGTGATATGGATTGATGTTTTGTGTAGACTGCCCACCCTGCTCTCCATCTTTCAGGATGAAGGCATGGAATTAGAAATTCTAAAACAAATCAATATTGAGTTGAAATTATGGGTCTCTGATGTTCTGACAGCTCATTCAAATGTTTGGTAGCATATGGGGAGGATGTTATCCAGAGGAATCCAAAAATATTAAATATTGCCTCCCTCACTGCCTCTCTTTTTGTGATATGTTTCCTTCTTATTTCTTCTTCCACTCAGAATGAAATAATGAGAATTAAGGAAGGCACTGGATATCACTGTTACTATAAAAAAGTTATGATCAGGCAGAGTACTATATATTTCATCCATTTGCTTTATTTCTAATCTGAGATCTTGGAAAGTAACCCCAGTAAAAAGGAAGATAAAGGAACAGCAGACCGATATGACACCATTAAAACTTGTGGGGTGAGCGGGAACCATGCGATGCACTGAAATAAAAAGAAAACATTAAAAAAAACGGTGTTGTAGTAAAGCGCCCCGCTAATTTACCATCACTAGTGATGCACAGAAACTATAGCATGAACTTCCATCTCTAATTAATTTTTACGGGCAGATTTTTATGGAAAATCCATCCATCTTATTTTTATATCTACATTGGTTTTACTCCCAATTTTCTCCTGCTTCATATATTTTGTTGTTTTGGGAGAAAAAAATGGACACAACCCAGCTAAATTAAAGCACTTTTAAAGCTGTGCTATTCTAATGGAGGAGAATTTAAGTAGCAATCTGACTATTAGCATCTAGTAAACAGAAGCAGTTCCATAGAGAAAGAATGTGACCTTGGCATGTGTCTTTGTGAAGATATTTTGCTGACTGAGATTAAATCCATTACCGCAATGTACCATTCCATCTGTAGAATTTGACTGGTGTGGAAATGTCGACATAAACCCTCTCTGCATAGGATGGACCCACCACTTCTCTGCCATGTCCTTTCAATATATGAAGAATTGCAGTCCACACACAGACACCCACACCCACACAAATTTATTTATACATACATACATACAGTACATACATACATAGACTTATCCCCACCCATCTCCCTGAAATGGGGGACTCTGGGCGGTTTACGTCAATTTAAAACAATAAATACATAATAAAAATTTATAAAAGACAGACATAGCTACACAAATGGAAAGAAG